AGGCCCTCCCGAGAGACCAGAAAGGCCCCCCGGTGGCCTGGGGCCTCCCCGGCTCTTTCTGGATGGAGGCGGCTCAGGAAGGAGCTGGCTGAACACTTTGGCCTTCGCCTTCCAGCCCCTGCGGACCGCACCTCCCCTAGAGCAGAGGCTGCGTGAGGAGCAGGAAATGCTGTACCAGGTGAGGCCCAGTGGGGAGGTCAGCTGGGTGAACCTGGGGACGCTTCTCTTAGGAGGTTTCGGATTGGATTCTGAAAGTCTAGGGGGACCTGGAGCCATCCTGTTAGGAGGGGAGGAAGGACTGGCTATGGGGACACCTCTGCAGGGGCCATGGTAAACGCAGGAGAGAGGCAGGGAACCCTGTAGACCTCAGGATGGCCTGGGCACAGCGCCGGGCTGGCAGCCAGCCAGTTCCATGGGTCGTAATGGTGTGAAAACGCGCCTTCCTGGGGAGCCGAGGTGGCACCTGGACGGACACACACTGCCTGGAGCCTGAGGCCTGCTTGGAACCCCCAGAGTGGTCTGGGAGGCAAGAGACCTGGGAGTTGAACAGACTTGTCCGTGCTTTGGTAGAGGGCTCAGGGCGTGTGAGATGGACAGGTCTCTCTCTTTTTTTTCTTCAAAATTCCCCAAATGTCCTTTCTGGGACTGCAGCTGTCGACCTTAGCGTGGGTCTGATTCCCACGGTCGTCTCTCAGTAAGGAGCCACTGCACGGGCTGGCCCAGGTGTGGGGCTGAATGTGGGTCCTGCACCAGGTCAGGAGAGGAAGGATTCCTTGTCTAGGCTGCCCTTGCTCACCCCTTTCCCTGCTGTGGACTGCACCTGCCTCCTTTCCAGCAGGGGTGGAGCTACTGGCTTCAGGAGCGCCCGAGGCAGAGGTGGCTCTCAGGCCGTCAGTGCCTCTGGGCCCGGGGCTCTCAGCATCCCACCCGGCTGAACAGCTTCCCTCCCTTCCTCTCAGCACAGCCGGCTCCCCAGGATCTCTGTCTGACCGCCAGGATGGAGCTGGGGCCAGCGACCGAGACCTTCGTGCTGGAGCTTCGGCGTCTTGAAGGCAGGGGCCCAGGACCTCACACCCTCTCAGGTGAGGGGCTGGAGGGGCCCCTGACCTCCTAAACCAGAAGATGGTCCTCAGGTCCCCAGCGAGGATCCTCTGACACAGCCCCCGGCCTGCCATGGCAGAGAGGGAGCCCCGAAGGGTGGCAGGCAGCCTGCTGTCTGGAAGGGCATCCACCTGGCTGTTTTGGGGTGTGGAGGGCAGGCCGCACCCACTCACACCAGCCAACTTCAGCTACCCTGAGTAATAGCGGCAGTTTCACCTTGGGGTCTTCTGAGGTGGGTCCCTCTGGCTGTGGCCTTTCTGGGGAGGGGTTGCCTGGCAGTGCAGACATTCTCAGCCCGCACCCCAGACTGGATGTGTGCGGCCTGGGACCTGCTGCTGTTTCCCAGTCATCAGGTAGCCTCCGCTGTTTTCCTGCTTGTCCTGGCTCCGCACTCAAGTTCCCAGACTGAATTCAGTGGCTGAGGGGCCTTCTCGTTGGCCTCGTGGCATTTCTTTTCCCCGTGGCCTCTGACCTTGTCCACTTTTCCTTCACCTCTGCTTCCATCCATCTTTCTCCTGCTTTGCCCAGAGGCAGATTCGGCCCTGTAAGAAACTTTCAAGATCCTTTCTTTCTCTGGGACCCACTCTGGGTAAATCTTCCATGTTGGCCATGCCCGTGGGAGCCAACTTTCCACTCTGTGCTTGGAGGGCATGGAAGGAGGGGCTAGGGCAGGGCTGAACAGAGCATGGAAAGGACCAGTGTACCTGGAACGGTGGAATGGGGACGTGTGGATTAAACTAGGACTCTTTTGGCTTAAAGATTTAACTGACAAAAATCTTAAAAAAGGATACACATCAGATGACGATTATACATTTACTGAAACATTGTTAATAATGTTTAAAATGCCGTAAGACATTGGGAGTGGCCATAGTATTCTAGAAATGAGAAGACTCATACAGAGGTGTGATGTTCCCAGAGGTGGTGGGAGAAGGGAGTGTCCAGGAGACCTTGGATTTTCCGAGGGGACAGGTTTTCACAGCTGTCTTCCCTCACCTCCTGCAGACTCCCACCCAGTGTGTGTGTAGGAAAATGCATTCACTAACCCACTAGCCTAAGCAAAGGTTAGTGAGAATAGTTTTCTAAAAGGGAATTATTTACATGTAGATATCCTTTGGTTTTTTAAAAAATCAATATTTTCCTAGAAAAAGTGACCAGAAAGAAAACTTTTATAAATCAAACCTTTGCTTTCCATTACAAAGTTGAAAATACGATTGAGATGAGACTCGGGAATGGAGACAGCCTCTTTGGATTTTCTGATAACACAGCAGTCACACTCAGAGTGAGAAACTGCATGCGGATTTTGTGCAGAAAGTGAGACATAGCAATGGAGTGAGTCCAGTTGAGCAGAGCTTGCTCTGCGTCGTGCCCAAGGCTGGGCTACACGTTTATCCCCTCTAATTCTCACAATTTCCCTGAAAGGGATTTATCTCCTTTAGCAGATGGGCAGACTCCAGTTGCCAGAGGTTAAGTCATTGGCCGATCGCCATGTTGACTTGGGGCTGTGGGTTAGTCTTTTCCATTCCAGAAAAACAAACAGTCTAAAACACTTCCAGTCTTTAGGGTGTTTCAAATGGAGCTAGTTGTATCCTTGGTGTTTCTAAACTGTTAATTTTCAAACTAATTCCTAACCCAGAGGGAGAGGGGTTGTTCAGGCTCCTACTAGGGAGTATGCCAGGGTCCTTCCTGCTTCACTCATTAAGCTGGCAGGGTGAGTTATCATTAAGCTGTTTTACAGACAAGGAGGACGCTGAGCCTGCAGGAGGTTGGTCAGCTGCTAACTGGTAGAGTGAGTCTGAACTGAGGACTTTTCACTTGGAAACCTCATGTTCTATCTGACACTTTGGTGACTTTTAGAAACTGCTACGGAAACATTTCCAGGCAGCTTTACAGAAATTTTTTGTGATTTACAGAGAAGGCAAGTTTCATATATTTAAGGGGTGAGCCTAACTGAGGCCAGAGTTCAGCATGGGCTTGTGGCTGAGCCATTGGAATGGCCTGTTCACTGATTCCGACTGAGTGGTGGTTATGCACAAAGGACTTCTCAGGGAGTGGTGTCGGGGAGCCCCAGGCACCCCTGGGGGAGTTACTGCTAAGATCTAAGCCTGGAACCTGTGTGGAAGAAGGCTCAGAGGAGAGGTTGGGGAGCAGGGGTCCAGAATGATGTGACCAGCAGTCCCTTGGGTGCACTTCTAAGCCAACTCCACACCTCTGGGAGTTTCCGTTTCTACCATGTTGCTGTTGTCACTTGGTCCATTGATTTTGGGTCTCTGCTGAGAGCTCAGGAGTGTACCCGAGAGTGACTGTACATGGGGCAGAGAAAGGGGGGTCGATCCTGGGGGTCTGGACCAGAGAGCTGCCTGTAGATCTTTCTCTCCTGGCTTCCTGCCATTTTCACTACAGGTGGCAGCGGTGGGAGTGAGAGTCAGGAGGAAGAAGAGGCTCAGGAGAGGAGCAGCAGCCCACCACGGCCAGAAATCTCAGCCCTGATGGGGACCGGTGAAATCGCTGAGGAAGCCCCCCCGGAAAAGCAGGAGCTACGACCCCCACAGTTAGAACAGCAGCCAGAGCTGCAGCAAAAGCCACGGCAGAAGCGACTGCGACAGCAGCGACCACGGAACCAGTCGTCAGAGCATCAGCCAGAATCACAGCAGCAGCAAGATGGCCAAGAGCAGCTGCCTGAACAGCAGCAGGAACTGCAGGAGAAACCCCGGTCTGTGCAGGAAGAGCCACCGAAGCCAAAGACGCAGCTGATACAGCGGCAGACACAGTTACAGGAGCAGCAGGTGCAAGAGCAGCAGCTGTCACAGCCACAGGAGGAGCGGTTGCAGCAGCAGCAGCAGGATGGGCAACAGCAGCTGCCTCAACAGCAGCAAGAACTACAGGAAGAGCCCCAGGCTGTGGAACAAGAGCTGCGGAAAACCCAGCTGCAGCTGGTGCAACAGCAAGAGCAGTCACAGAAGCAGCCAGTGCAAGAACAGCCACTGTCACAGCCACAGCAGGAACACTTACAGCCACAGCAGCTGCTAGGACAACAGCAGCAGCTGCAAGAGCAGAAACAGCAGTTACAGCAGGAACAGCCACCGCTGCAGCAGTACGAACAATTACAGCAGCAACAGAAGCAGCTACAACCACAGCAGGAACAGTTACAGCTGCAGCAGGCACAGCTCCAGCTGCAGCAGCAACAGTTGCAGCAGCTGCAGCAGCAGCAACAGTTACAGCAGCAGCAGCTGCTGCAGCAGCAGCAAGAACAGGTACAGCAACAGCTGCTGCAGCAGCAGCAGGAACAGTTGCAGCTGCTGCAGCAGCAGCAGGAACAATTGCATCTGCTGCAGCAGCAGCAGGAACAGTTACAGCAGCAGCTCTTACATCAGCAGCACTTACAGCAGCAGCAGCTGTTGCAGCAGCAGCAAGAAGAGTTGCAACAGCAGCAGCTGCAGCCCCGTCCACTGGAGCCCGAGGAGGAGGAGGAGGAAGAGGTAGAGCTGGAGCTCCTGCCGGTGGACTTGGGTTCGGAGCAGGAGCTGGAGCAGCAGCGGCGGGAGCTGGAGCGGCAGCAGGAGCTGGAGAGACAACAGGAGCAGCGGCAGCTGCAGCTCAAACTGCAGGAGCAGCTGCAGCAGCTGGAACAGCAGCTGGAGCAGGAGGAGCAGCAGGAAGTGCAGCTGGAACTGACCCCCGTGGAGCTGGGGGCCCAGCAGCAGGAGGTGCAGCTGGAGCTGACGCCCGTGCAGCCGGAGCTGCAGCTGGAGCTGGTGCCCGCCGCCGGGGGCGCGGGGCTTCGGTACCTGGGGCTCCCGCTGCAGTCGTGGTGGCCCCCCAGGCTACGTGGTGCTGCAGGAGCTCATGGTGCTGCCGGCCGTGTCCGC